TCGATTCCAAATCCGTATCTGTGCCCACAACTCCTCCTGGTATCCTCAGCGAATCCACCGACGTTCTCTCATCCAAAATCTCCAACCTCCTCACGTTCTTCGCCAAGGATCGATTGACGATCAAGTGGTTCCACATGCTGATCGAGCTGACCTTGCATCGCAGGACTCGATAGTCCAGATGCCGGGGAATCACGATACCATGCATACGCTGGCAGGACGAGGCCAGCGCCAACAAATCCTGCTTCGAGTCGATGTGAAACACGATGGCGTCGAGAATCTCGGTTGGCTGACGTGTAATGAGTGTGCGCTGGGAAGGGGCACCGCCAATGTAGGGCTCAACGATCGTAAGAAGGTGAAGCGAAAGTTTGTGTTCTTCGGGCGAGAGTTTGTATTGACACCCTCCAAGACGCGAGGCTAAGGATCCCAGGAGACCTGCCAGGACGCTGAACGCGCGAAACGGGTCCGTGCGGTCGTAGGACCCTAGATAAGTATTAACAGCAAGGACACCTTTTCGCTGTCGTCCCCTTCCAGGACGGAGAGACACCTTACTCTTGGAGGCCATGGAGTCGGCGAGAAGACTGCTGCGGCAATGCTGGCGGCAGCTCAGTGAGCACTGCTTGATGGTCGTCGTTAAACTGACCCTGAGCAATCGCGGCAAGTAACGGTTGTTCCCACGCGACTTAATTAAGGAGCGGACGCGTCTTCGGGTCAACGCGTTCTGTGAACCATACCGTGCAGAAAAGTGAAGAGTCACCCCATTTCTGTTAAAACAATTTGAGCTTGACTGCCAGCGGTTTTGTCTAGAAGAGATTGACCAGTGAGGAATATTCCGGATATGTTAATGATATTTGAGAGTCTAGAGCGGAGAGATTCGTATCACAATTAACAAATTTGATGGACTTGTACACGTACAGGAGGTTTGAGATAAGGAGTCTGAGCGTCAGTGTCGGACCGATGCCCCTATTACATTCCAGTTGAGCGACGAGCCGGCTAGCATGGTTATGCGACGCCACCATGGTCCTGAAAACCGAGATATACTTCAGAATAACGAAATTCCTTGGCTAACAAGGGACTGAGAGCGCCCTAAACTTAGCCCTGACAGTTAATTGCCACAGGAGAATCAGATTTCAATATTTGAGGCTAGAGCGATAAGTATGCAGCTTTAGCTCGCCGGGACGCGTGAGTCTATTGATGGAAAAACGAAGCGCCCTCGCAGTGTAGGAAAAAAGTCATCCGGCATACGCCGGTCGTCAGTCGATGTGGGTTCATAATCGGGCCGGTGGCCCGTCACTGCCTCGAAACGCTACCAGCACATCAATGCGCTCTCTGTAAGCAGTTATATCCCCAAATACTCGGCCCTTGCTGGATTCCTTGTGCTTCTTTTCAATTGAATTTAGAGTCTATACTCCTTTTGGCGAACTGTACTTCTGAGCTCTTTACTGTTTCGCAAGTTCTTGGCAATGTTTGCGGAAAGTCCGTCTCTGCCAAGCCCTCTAACACAGAGAACCGTTTTATAACAGGCTCTAATTCAAGTCTAATTTCAGCCATGGATGTGACAATCGTTCCAACGTATGTGGCTCTGTCGAAATACCACTGAGTTTGCTTCATCATGACGCTTTCGAGATTATTCTATCCTTGAAGAGGCCCACGCTATTTATTTTTACAGGTTCTGAATAACCACATGCGCTCACCATGAAACTCTGTTGAACGAGTGGCGTTGAATTCTCCTTCTCATTTCAAGCACATCTTCTCACCCCACTGAATTGTCCGGTATAGGATCTTAAATAGCTGTTACCAGGTCAACACTGAACGATACTTGACCGTTCTGTTGGTCATTTCAATTCTCAGTACATACGGTGAGCATTCATTCATTGGTATTCTTCCATACACCAAAACCTTAAAGGACTCCGTCCGAGATTTTCCCAGTCCTAACTGTATACCCAGGTGTATCGTACACGATGAATCCTGGGGAATGGACCCCCCATACAACAACGTTCTCCTCAAGTCTCCTTCCAACCCGATGCGCAATGTTTTAAAGTTTTTATTTCCTACGCCCTGATAGGTGAGGCCACTTCTTCTGGAGACTACTGCCCCCTGTCTCTTCTGAAATTCCGGTTTGCAAGAAACAAACTGTAAGACTGTATGCTGGTTATCATCTAAGCCCCCAAATCAATTGTTTTTACGTGGCTATGCCATGATGTGCGAACGTGAGTCATGTTTTCTCGAACTTTATTTTATACTCACCGCCCCTCCAACGCGAATCACGCCTCCAACCCTTACGTCACGGGTGTGCACCACTTGTTACAGTAAACGTTGTATTGACCACTGTTCTGGTATTTACCAGACGTGCTGCGTTGTCTACGCGAAGGACGTCGTGGATCAGTTAGACCAGAAAGCCGTATTAATAGCCAGCGCCCACGCATGACGCAGACCAATTCAAATATGGTCACCGTTCTCTCCGGTTTCTCTGACGTCTCACATTTTTTCCCTTGCTACGTAATAACGAACTCCGCAGCGTTTATGAGCCGGTGGGATTTCCTTTCTCCAGCCACGGTAAGTACCACTACTGTTCTCCGTTGGGAGATTGCTACCCAGTGACCACTGACTTCGAAACCAACGGACCCACCCATTTGATCTCCTGGTTTGTCGGACGCCTAGATGAAGGAATTCCTTGCAGAGTAGCACATAGCGGCGAGTGGAGTAAGTATTTTTGTTTTTACATTCGTGGACAACCTTTTCTAATATTTCCATCCTACGTATTGTTCCCATTTCCTAAACCTGCCCAGTCAAAATACTTCCTCGCTGGTACTTGTGACTACCCTATGTTATTCAATATTCTACACTCCCTGCACCAGGAATTTCGGTCTTGCGATTATTTGTGTCTGCTTCATGATGGACCCAAATCTGAAGCGCATTCTCTGTTATCCTCCAAAACGGTAAATTAACATTCGCTCACAGATATCATTTGTATTCTGTAACTGCGATTGTCTGTCACAACCCATTATCCCCTACCTTCCAGACCGTTGTTCCCAAGGATCCAAACAGTGTGTGTCATCTACCGACATAAGATGACCCACGGGTTTCCGCACATTTGCCTTGTCCTTTGGCTCGTTCCCTGAGCTGATACCGTGTAATATTCTGTCTTGGAAACCGGTCTCGTGTTTATCTGTTTGCTCGAGGCATTTTGATCACTCCGCGAAAAGATCCCGTTCCAATTTATAACGCTAGCCAATCTCTCCGAAGATGTCCTTCTAGTCTCGTTTTCGCTGTTAAGAGAACGGCGAACTCTCCCCACAATAGTTATTCCCGAATTCGACGGCTGAAATGTACAGCGACAAGAATAGATTTCAAGGCCGTGCTCTTGTACCTGCCAATCCCGAGATTCGAATCTATACTCTGTCATCATCCTACGTGTGCCTCGAACAGAATATCCATCTGCCAAACACAAATTCTCCCAAATTTCTAGAGCGCATGGTCCAGTTGAATCTATTCTCTTCTGATTTTGTCAAAGTCGACTATATCATCGCACTCTGTTGACGCTCTGGTACGCCGACCATAACGTTTATTCATCTTCACTTTGTCTTGAAAATGGACTTTCTTCCCTTCGGCTAGCTTTTCCCACACCGGCATATTGCTGCCCTTCCAATAAATTATCCCCGTGCGTCGAACTTTATCAAGCCCTCACCATCAAACACGAGTTAGGTCACGAACATCTGCGACCATGTATAGATATCGTTGTATGTAGTGCCATTCTCAGTGCTTTTTCAGCGACTGACATTTCATTGGCGGTTCGGAACGGAGCCTTCTCCCACCTAGTGGCTGGCATTGCAATCGAATTTATCCTCTAATTTCGGTCGTAGGAATTCCTCTCGGTCATCGCGGATCATTAATTCTTTGTAGGGTCCCGTTGAGTCTACCGCTCTCATGCCCATGTTCAAGAGGTCTCTGGACACTGATTCCGTTACACTCGAGCATCGTGTTTCGTCTCTCCTCTCCTGTGAAATAGTACCTTAGTGACTTCCTCAATGCAGCGTTAAAATCATTCTACCTGAATCCGGCGTCCTCATTCTGCCAACCAGTGAGTCAGATCTCTGCACAAACATGATCAAAAGATTGATAATGGTACGAAACTCAGTATACTCCGAAGGCTTCAGACTTTGGAAATCGGCCCTTAGGCCCTTCAGGCTTACATTCCAATGCCTGCTACACTTCAAAATTATACTAGACACAAGACTTTCCGCGGGAACTGAGAAGTACAGAACAATTTTTACTTTATCATTCTGCGCAATATAGGGTTGCGCACGAAACCCTGGGTTTGGATACACTAGGATTTCGGACCGGTAACTTGAAGTTACCGGTTAGTATTTACTGGTAACTTACCTCCCCCCGCTGGAGGGATTTTCATCGAGGTAACTTACCTGTCATGTTATGATGCACCATCAGCAAAATCACTGTCATATTCAACTCTATTAACATAATCTTATGTCTTCAAATTAAGGTTTTGTTCTGTAATACTCTGCACTATATTACAACTCATAGGAGAAAATACACAAAAGCGCGAAGATAAAGATTCCGAATAAAAGTCTGTAATTCCTATGCATCAATCATGTCATACTCTCGCAGTTCAATCACAGTATGCGTTGGAAAGGATGAGACAACTGTGTACGCTGCAACGCTTCTTCATCTATTCCTCGCATTTACGAATCCTTCCCATACATAAAGCAAGGCCTTGGCTTCGCTCCATCACACATATACCCCAATATTGGTGATTTGACCTTGTCCGAGGTTGAAAGCGGTTTTCATAGTGTTGGTGGTATGTGTCTTGACGCATCTTCTCTAATGGGCGTACCGATTACCGTATCAAAATAGCCTCGGGGGGAGGTCGGTTCAAAGCCGTATATTACCCTCCTTGTTTAATGCCCAACGGGCAACCCTACAATCACACAAAATTATGTTTTGCCGCACTTGCGATCAACAGCACTATGAGACTGCCTTCGTAACTCTCTGGCTGGGCGTCGAACCCAGCTTTTGCGCGTGCAATATCTGCCAAGCCGTGTTGCATGACAGGCGCGTGTACTAACCGATATACTACCAGAGATTGAGGTATGAGATATGAATAGCAACTGGTGATCCTATAAAATGACACCCAGAATGAAGACCTGTTGCACTATTGGACAAAGTGATACGATGCTGATTGAGCAATTATATCAGATTATTTGAATATTTGTACCCTGAGAGCAGTCAACGTCAAGCCAGCGTCGAAAGAAGTTGAAAAGCCATATCAGGACAGACGGGCCGGCGGCCCACTTCATCATCGCCACCATGCGCGGATTCGAACACGAGCATTCTTTCCTAAGATTTAGCTCGGATTTCTTCTCTTACTACTTCTAAGTACAACCCCCACCGTACTTTATAGGCTATTTGGACCAATGGCACTTTTTTACTCTCAGTACCATAGAAAAGTAATTGTTACCGAGCAAACATTGACTTCAAGCTTAAACTGTTTAGCGGTCCTACTACTTAGCCTGATCCCTTTCCTGATAACGAGGGAATCATTCTCAGCATTTCTATGCCGGGTCTCATGCCCTTGTACTTTACCCTTTTCTGACCCTCGCCCTTCCCAGATTTAATAATCTCGCGGATTCAATGCTTTCAACCCTTCACAATGTGCTTCCCCATGGGAGGAACCTTTCGGGTCAAGCTTCTCCTTCGCCGGCACCCTGTGCTCTTCGTACTCATCACACGGAGTTTCCGATCCTAGCTGCTCGTCTACTACCTGCACAAAGACTCGTCTGCGGTCCGAGTAGCTTCGCTTGCGTCCCTCGCATATTTCTGTACTTCAGGATTCTCATTAGAAGTCTTATTACTCCATACCGCACCAACCCTTTCTTCCCAAGATGATCGAGGATCCTGGCAACGTGTACGATCGAGCGGTAAGAACAATGTTCGTCACCTCGGATTGGTTATCCACCGTGGAGCAGGTTTCTTTCTAGATCAGTTGTCCTTGTTTTCATATCCAGTCTTTGAACATTCCTAATCAGTTCTCGGACGATGGGCTGGAAATTAAAGTTCTTCTGTCCAAAGCTTCTCTTGTGGATTTACACACGCGCTTTTCTTACTCTCATCTAAATTCCAACTCGTCCCTTGTAACAGATACCACACATCCTTTTCTCCTGGCAACCGTTCTATATCTTTCTGTGCCTGTCGTGCTCTTTGGTTCAGGCATTTCGATCTCTCCGTACTCGGCTTGTCTAATCTTGTCACGAAAACGGCCAGCCCACGCCAGTGGTTTCGATGCTGCCAATCATCAGTCTTGGATGCATGTTATCCTATGCGTGCCTCTTTGATAGCCGTCCGCTCAACGCACATGCTCCTGTAGCACTATCACATGGGGTCAATCGAGTCTATTCTCTTCTTATGATTGAATACCGCCGATCGGGTCCTTTTGCTCCCTCTCTGGTTGTCGGGACTCGGCCGTGGTGTCCACAGCCACCGCCACTCTGAGCCTCGACTCTACTTTTCATTCGGCGACCTTTATACCCCAACCGCCTATTAATTATCTTCTCCATGAGAGATGATAATGCAATGTCTTCCCCCGCTGCCTCGTGTGGGTGCGAGAAATTTCCTCACTTTTAATTACGTGGAATCTTCGGAATAAATTAACAGCTCGTGTTTTCAATATTCCTCGTAAGAAAAGACTGATCCGCGGAAGGCCCTTGAAGGTTTCGCGCCCGTGCTCTCTCCGTTACTTGACCGTGGCTTGTGTCTAAAAAACTTCAAACAGAGAAGATCAGCAGACTCGACACCTGTGGCTTTCAAGTCGAGTATCGACATTGTTATTATGTGTAAGCACTTCTCTCCGAGAGTCCCGCTCGCTTACGGTCCCGCCAAAATCTATAGATGCTTCTTTCTGTGTGGCCACCGTCGTCCCTGTCTGCCTGATGTCGTCACTGTCGACGCCATGACTCGATCAGCCGTTCACTTTACCCTGGATCATCTCCCGATGTCGTATCCTAGCGAATTCGTCTTGCGCGTAACCCTCTACCCCGTTGTCTAATCCCTCGTTGGGGCCGTCCCTCTGGGAGTCCGAGGCCAGACATCATAGTTGTGTGGCCACCTGATGTCATAATCCATGTCTATTCCCTCGCTAGGTCCAATGCCGATATGCCCTTGGCCCCGTCGTCCCGCATGTCGTCACCATTAATCGATCAGTTTGCTTACTATCACCTCGGGTGATTCTTTTTTTTTGTGTGGCCATGACAGTACATTCGCCACCGCCAAGTCACTATGCCATTTCATTGTCTGTGGTAGATTCTTCTGCTACCTGGGGCAATGAATCGTCGTTCTCATTCTGATGTAGATGGCATGGCAGTGGAATAGAGTTGGTCCCTCCAATAGCCAACGGCGCACCGTGACCTATTTCCAAATTCCAGATCCTTCATACATATTCACACCGCGTAACCACTTGGATACACGTCCTACTGCCGCAATATAAATTCTTTTTCAATTTCATTTTATTTTATTTCGGCCGTTCGTGAATCGTCTCTACTACTAAGTTAATTACATGAACATCCGGTACAACACAGAGTCCCTCCGTGTGTAATACAGTGTGAGATAACCAAGAAATACGTAACACAGATAGCGATAAATGACAGGGAGATGAGAGTGAGGGGGGAGGGAAAGGATAAGTATATACAGTGAATGAATAATAACAATAAAAAACTCTACGCCAGCGAGAAGCCGTCCCAATGTGCAATACCTGGTTGGGGAAAACTGAAATCCATGAGGTCATTGAGATACTCATTCGGAAGATTCGTCGAGAGGTAGTAGTCGACGGTGTTATCGACCATTACCGGACTGGCCTCTGGGAAGAAAGAAGCCGGGGAACGGTACTCAATGGGGGAAGTACAAGGAGTGTAGTCATAGGAATAAGTTTCGGCCGGATTTGGGTAGAGGAAGGAAGAGAAGTCGGGCTGGGCAGGAGAAAAGTCGGACTGGGGGCCGGGAGAGAAGCAATCATACGAATTGGGAGACTCGGGGTAGTACGACGCGTTGTTTTCAGTGCAGAGCGAGCTGAGGAATGCTGTGTCGAGATCGATGACTGGGGCCTCACGCTCAGTGGACGCGATAGGCGCCGCCGGCTCAAGAACAAGGGGGGGAGGAGGGGGAGTCGAACGTTCGCGTTTCTAAGTCAGTCCGTTAGAATATTCCGCCGAAAAAAAAAGCACAGAAAACATACCACGGAAGACGTCTTTCTCCGCCTCTCCTCTTTGCCCTTTTCCTGCCGAAATGCACTTTCGGTAATCGGTACCTCGAATCGCGTGATGATCTCCGGGACGTGCGTCTTGTCAAACTCTTTGATCGCCTCGTCCAACTGTGCGCCCTTCAAACCTTCGACGAGCAACTCGGCAATCTTGGCGCACCTCTTCGTATCCTTCGGTTCAACCTCCCGTACCTTCCGCCGCCCTTTTGTTCTAGTCTCTCCACCTTCTTTACCGGGCCGGAACGCATACCCGGGGAATCGCCGCCTGTGCTCATCGAGCGCCGCACGCGCCTTGTCATGCCATACCTGCCTCTCGCCCTCTGGGAGTCCCTGCCATGTCATCCCGATGATCTTGGACAGGGTAGAGTGGTTCGTTTCGACGTCGGTAGAGACATGCTGAGACTTAATAAAAGACGATCGAAATAGGATGAAAGCGTTGGGTGGGCGGGGGATATGTGTCGGGGGTTTTTTTTTACTGTGGCGTGGAGACTGGGCCGGTAAGTGGTTGTGCGAGGAGGGAGAAGAGGGCAAGGTCCAGACGATCTGAGTACCCATGTCGCAGGAAAGTGTTTTAGGCATCGCAAGTCGGAAGGGGGAGGTGTCGCTGGGGAGAGGATGTGAAGTAAATGGGGGGAAGTAGGAATGATTAGATCTGCAAACGCTGCGATTAAGAAAGGGCCCGTGAACGTGGACTCGGAAGTCCGGCCCTGGTGAGAATTATGTAAAACGTAATCGTCTTTTTTCCCTTGTATTCTCTTCCCTATCTCTTGCCTGGACTCCCCCTTTGTACTTCCCCTCGTCCCTTCCCCTCAGATATACTTCCGTGGAACCAAATTTCACGATCAAATTTATTGTCTTGAGCTAGCTGGCTATGCATAGAGAGGACGCAGCGTCTACCTGAGATCCCTCCTTATCCCCATCCATCATTACCAATTTCAATTCACCTCATGCCAACCCTCGAATCAAATCCCGTGGCGTTGTACTTTCCCCTACCCATCTCCCCGTGTGTCCAAGAACTCTAACTTATCAAACGTTGATGTGAATGGGTATGTAAGTCATCTAGGCCGCGTGATATGAGGTGGCGGTCTCGTCTACTGCGTCGTTGAAAGTCAAAAACCAAAGTGCTGACTCTTAGATTGAGCTCGTTCCACAATCCACCTAATAGCACGACGAAAATTAATTTTTTTTGCTAATCCCGCTTCCACCGCCGGAGTTATCACCTCAGGGCTTCGAATAAATTGCGCCTTCTTGTCCCCCCTTTGGCTAGAGGTCAGATGAATGATACGACAGACCTCTACCCACCGCACGGACCCAGATCAGACAATTTTATCGTGGCGCAACACGGGTCCTTTTCTCGGCGAGCAATGTAGTTCATTGATGCAAAGTACGGGCCAGAACATAGAGAGCAGGGGAAATTTAGATATATCAAGTTACCGGGTTCTGATAAGTGCGAGCCTGGGTAAGGGGAACGACCAGGGCTTGGTGATATCACTGTTCGCCAAAAATTCGGAGATTTTTGGCTGACGAGTGGAAGTCTGGTTATGACATACCGAAAATTGAGGCGAGGCGATATGAAGTTATGAGTCATAGCGTGGCGTGCTGAACGTCACCCAATTCTGCATCCGCCTTTGGAGGTACCGGCTGCGCAGAAGGTACTAACGTCTAGAGTTCCCCACCCGATCCGTCCCTAAGTTCGGGTTCAAATGCTGGAGTTCCCGCCGGAGTTGAAACTTGACATTGATGAGAATTAATAACATTTTATTGGGGAAGTCGCTCAGCTATATCAATTCACAGAGCTTCGAGCGCGGGTCCTTCTGATATCACTGCCTAAGAAT